TAAGCACCAAGGTACCTGGTGCCTTGCAAGGGATTCCCGAGTGTTCCGCAATTGTTTTTCCTCTCTCCTCTGCGCGAGAAAAACTTTTGCCGCCTAAATCTGAAATGAATCCCTGGGGAGGGTGGGGCCTTGCTCTGCGCCTGCGCTCTTCACACGCCTCCTGCAGGGCACATTTGGTAAAGTTCGTGCATTCAGGCTGACGCCAAGCACAGGGAGTAGCACAGCTAAGGAAAAGGGCAAAAAAAAAATGGCGGACGGAGTGGTTTGGCGACCCCCGTGAAATGGTCGTGCGACCCCAAATGGGGTCGCGACCCACAGGTTGAGAACCGCTGCCCTATACCATTTCGGACAAATGGCTGTCCAGTCTCTTCTTTAAAACTTCCAGTGTTGGAGCATTCACCGCTTCTGGAGGCAGGTTGTTCCACTGGTTAATTGTTCTCACTGTCAGGAAGTTTCTCCTTAGTTCTAGGTTGCTTCTCTCTTTGGTTAGTTTCTACCCGTTGCTTCTTGTCCTGCCTTCAGGCGCTCAGTACTAGAAGGACAAGGGGTTTTTCCTCTTTGTTTAATACAGGGGTCTTCCAACTTGGCCCTTTTATGACTTGTGGACTTCAACTCCCAGAATTCCTCAGCCAGGCACACGTGCCTGGCTGAGGAATTCTGGGAGTTGAAGTCCACAAGTCATAAAAGGGCCAAGTTTGAAGACTCCTGGTTTAATATAGAGTGTCTTGCCCTGATTTGATTGTCCTCCATGATCCTGTGCCCTGCAGGATCCAAATTGTTCCCTGCACAGGACCAGAACCACCTCCTCGAGGGAGTCCCACCGAGGGGGGGAGGGTTGCCGTGCCCCCCTCCCCGCGCAAGAGGCCCAGGCTGTACTCACTTGGCAAGGCCTTGAGGTGGGTGGCAGCTGCAAGCAGGTCCTGGTGTTTGCCTGCCTCTTTGCTCTGCTTCTTTGACCGGATCCTTTCCACAGAAAGAGAGGAAGAGAGAGAGAGAGAAAGATGGAGAAGGTCCTCCAACAGGTCCCAAAGCTGCTTTTCCCAAAAGGCAACTGGACTGTCTTGGCGTTTTCTTTGAAAACGTTTCGCTTCTCATCCAAGAACCGAAGAAGCTTCTTGGATGAGAAGCAAAACATATTCAAGGGAGGGGAACCCCCCCCCCCCAGAAGGTCCAGTTGCCTTTTGGAAAAGCACCTTTGAGACAACCATGACCTGGATGACAGAATCTCCACAGACGTCCTCCTAGGACAGTGGTGGCGAACCTATGGCACGGGTGCCAGAGGTGACACTCGGAGCCCTCTCTGTGGGCACACGTGCCGTTGCCCCAGCCTTGCCTCCCCCGTGACCCCCTCCTCTCCAGCAGCCCCCCTGAAGGAGAGTCGTCCCCGAGTGTGGCCCACACGGAACAGCGCAGCCAAGGACATGGCAGCCAGGCAGCGTAGACAAGACTCTGCCCTCACGCCCCATCGTGCACAGTTGATGCTGCAGGGCGCGGGCAGAGGGCGTGACTGCTATAGCGCTGCTGGGCTGCCTGGGCGATCGGTGGCGGGCCCTGGAGGCGGTGAGTGGCCCTGCGGGAAGGCGGGGCAGGGGATGGGAGAGCAGAATGGGGGCGTGGCAGGGGGTGGAGCATGGGCGGGGCCAGTTTTTGGGCACTCGGTCTCTAAAACAGTGGTTCTCAACCTTTTTAATGCCATGACCCCAACCGGTCGTAAGTCGAGGACTAAACCGGTCGTAAGTCGAGGACTAAACCGGTCGTAAGTCGAGGACTACCCAACCGGTCGTAAGTCGAGGACTTTCCCTGCCCGGGAGCGCCGCGCATGCGTGGTTCCGCCCCCTGCGCCGGCCAAGGCGTAGCTGGGAAGCGGCAGAGACGGAGCAGGCCGACCACCAGCTGGCCCAGCTCAAGGGAGGTAAGGCACCCGCCGGAAAAGGGGAAAAAAATGGCGGACAAAAAAAATGGCAAACAAAAAAAATGGCGGACAGCCTTGCTTGGCGACCCCCATGAAATGGTTGATCGACCCCAAATGGGGTCCCGACCCACAGGTTGAGAACCACTGCTCTAAAAGGTTCGCCATCACTGTCCTAGGAGGCTTGTCCCACCAGACCTAGTGAGCAAGCACACACTCCAGCCCGGCCACCCGCTCTCCAGGTTTTCCACCTACCACACCAGGAAGGCAAACAGCAGCAGGGCCATCAGGGCAAAGAAGGCGACGATACCAAGTGACACCAGCGTTGCTACCTTCTCCATGGAGTCACCGTGTCCTGCTGGGGACAGAAGACATCCCTGAGCTCCGTCCCCCTGCGGGCACCTGCCAAGTGTCACCCTCCCCCTTGCAAGTCGAGGGCAGAGGTGCTGGGGGCCCAATCCAGACCATGCCAGCAAAAAGGGGGCTGGAGACTCCCAGTCTCTTAGCTGCAGGGCCACACACACATAGCCATGGGAGCACTTTTGCCTGGGAGATCTAAAGATCTTTGCAGGGATCCTAATTCTTCAAAGCAAATATCCTGGGTCGGAAGGGCGAGTATCGGCACCCTGGCCTTGCTCTCCATGCCGACCTCGGCTTCGGGCTTCCCACCTACCGACTGGCTCGTTGTCGGGGGACGGAGAGGGCTCCTCGGCGGGCGGGTCCAGCTCAACGGTGTCCGGAGCAGCTTCGCTGGGCTCAGCAACCTGTCCTGCAGGAGGGAAAGCCCAAATTGGACAGCTTGAGAAAAGGCAAGGTGGGGGGCACCGTTCTCCCCACTGCCTGACCCATGGTGAAGTGTCGAGCAGGGGAAGGCAACTATGGTAACTTTAGGACCTGTGGACTTCAACTTCCATAATTCCTGAAGGCAACTTGTGGACTTCAACTCCCAGAATGCCTGACAGCAACTTTAGGACCTGTGGACTTCAATTCCCAGAATGCCTGATGGCAACTTTAGGACCTGTAGACTTCAATTCCCAGAATGCCTGATGGTAACTTTAGAACCTGTGGGCTTCAACTCCCAGAATTCCTGATGGCAACTTTAGGACTTGTGGACTTCAACTCCCAGAATTCCTAATGGCAACTTTAGGACCTGTAGACTTCAATTCCCAGAATTCCTGATGGCAACTTTAGGACTTGTGGACTTCAACTCCCAGAATTCCCGGGCCAGCACAGGTCCTAAAGTTGCATAGTTGCCCACCCCTGGTGTAGAGACGGAAGTCAACCAATATCCACAGAGGGGCCCCAGAGCAATCACACCAGGCCCAGAATCCCCAGCCTGGTGGCCCCACAGATCTGGACCCCTCCACCCTCAGCAGAGGCTCCTGTTTTCTGCAACTCTTCATCTACTTTGGGTTCAAAAACAGCTCTCGTTGCACCCTTTCAACCCAAAATGCCAACGAGAAGGAATAGCTGGCCAGCCCTGGAAGCATCAAATTGCGTCTTCCAAGGACCCGTTTTCCAGATGGAAAAATGCAAGGAAAAGAAATGGGGGGAAAAAGCTAGCCGGGAATGCTCTGCAACCCCCCCCCCCAACCCCTCCTGCCACCCACTCTCTTTCTTTTCTGAAAAATGGAAAGAAATTAAACTTTACAAAGCTGCCTTAATACTTTCTTTTGGCGTGACGGATGCACTGAAAAGGTTAGGAAAAATGTTTCCATATTGGTTTCCAGCCCCAAAAGAGGCCACAAGCAGACTTTGCGGTCAGACTCTTGACCAGCTCCGAGTGTTACAGCCTCAGGATTCAGAGAAAGCCCCCCACAGCCTCCCCCCCAGGCCGGATTCCCGCCATGAGGGTCCAAGGGAATTCTCCTGGCCTCACTGTCCCTCGAGGCTTTTAATCTTCAAACAGTGTGCGTGTGTATGTGTTTGCGCATGGGTGTGCATTGGCTATGTAGAACACACAACATAAAACCCCAAGGCCGGAAGGGACCTTGGAGGTCTTCTAGTCCATCCCCCCGCTCAAGGCAGGGGAACCTTACGCCATCCTGGTCAAATGGTCTATTTTTGGTATAGGGTCTCCTACTTGAGTAAGGGGTTGGACTAGAACAGGGCTTTTCAACCAGTGGTACGATACCACCTGTGGTACATTGGCACCTGGCAGGTGGTACATGAGCACCCTAGAAAAGTGGTAGCGGGGGAGGGGAATGAGCTGAACCGGTGGCAGCACCGCACAAGCCTGAGCGAGAGACGGCTGGAGCTGCTGGGCTTCAGGGCTCAGTGGAAGCACCAGGATCAGTGCCAGGGTCCAGTTGGAGCTCGGCGCTGATCCTGGCGCTTCTGCTGAGCCCAGAAGCGCCGATCAGCTGGAATGTTGCAGCCTCTCCAGGGTCTTGTGATTTACATTCAGATGCTTGGCAACTGATTCATATTTATGACGGTCACAGTGTCCCAGGGTCATGTGAAGTGACCAAAACCTGCTGCAACCACCCAGCAGACGGGGGGAATAAAAACCAAACACCCCCCACCCCACTCCCACTGCCAATCCTCAACAGAAATGCTCACAACAATGAAAACCTCAGACAGGAGGAAGAGCGCGGCCGGGCGGGCAGGCAGGTGTTTTACTCGGCTGTGGCTTGGGGGGCACTTTTTTCAGTGCCATTGTAACTTTGAGCAGTCACTAAGCGAACTGTTGTAAGTCGAGGACTACCTGTACTTTATCACTTTTTTCTTTTTTCTTTTTTTTTTGGTCATCAAGTTTTTGACACCTTGCTAGGCGACTGGTGGTACTCGGATATTGCCATATCCTAAAAGTGGTACAATGGGTGAAAAGGTTGAAAAGCCCTGCTCTAGTCCATCAAGGCAGGGGAACCTTACGCCATCCTGGTCAAATGGTCTATTTTTGCTATAGGGTCTCCTACTTGAGTAAGGGGTTGGACTAGAAGACCTCAAAGGACCCTTCCAACTCTATTATTCTTAAAAAAAAACAACCCACTGATGGAGCACCCCACAACCCCAGGACAGTTATCATGCAACAGGAAGACAGCTTGGCCACAGCATTATCCGTCTCTGCAAACACTGGCAGTCCTCGACTTACAGCCGTTCATTTAGTGATTGTTCGAAGTTACAACAGCACTGAAAAAACTGACATGGGGACCATTTATCACACTTACGACATTGCAACATTTCCCCCAGGGTCCTGGGATCAAAATCAGGACGCTTGGCCACTGACTCCTATTTATGACGGTTGCAATGTTCCCGGCTCACTTTTGCCACCTTCTGACATGCAAAGTCAATGGGGAAGAAGCCGGATTCTTAGCTGTGTTGCGAACTTGACAACTGCAGTGGTTCCCTTAAAACGGTACCAAGAAAGGTTGTAAAACGGGACAAATCTCGCTGAACAAAGGTCTCGTTTAGCAACCGAAACTTTGGTTGTAGTTCTAAGTCCAGGATCACCTGTAGGTCTCCTCTTTTAACGTCGGCCCGAGATTTAGTCCCCACCCCACCCCATCCCAACCCTTTCCCCCTGCCCTGTTCTTCTCTCCCTGTTCCCCCCCCCCCAATTGGTGCCCTTTCCCTGCCCTTACCAGCAGCCGGCCAGCCTCGTGCCTCCGGGCTCCACTCGCTCCAGCTGCCAGCATCCAGGAAGTCCTTGGCGCTCACCTGGACCGCGTGCTCCAGGCCCATCAGGGCGTCCGTGATCACCTCGGACACGTTGCTCGTCTCCACCTGCCAAGCCAGGAAGCGGCACCCATCAGCCCATCTGCTGAGCCCAGCTGGCCGCTGACTCCGCTCACACGGGGGGGGCTGAGCAGAACCGACTGCCCCCCTCCACCAGCCACCCCAAATGCATGGGGCGCATTCCGGGAAGGAGAGATAGGATCCCTGTGCAAGCACAGAGTCCCACGCGTTTGAGACCCCCACACACACACACCTGCACCCCACTCCACTCACCATTGACCAGGAGCTGTGAAAGACCGGCCGGTAGCGCACCCGGAAGTGGAGCTGGAAGGAAGGCTCTTTGGGCCAAGAGGAGGGGTACGCCCAGCTGACGCGCAGCCGCCGGGGGGCCAGGGGCACCGGCTCCACCCGCACGTGCTCTGGAGGATCTGGCTTGGCTGGAGAGGAGGCAGAGGAGAGGAGCTGAGACCCTGGAGGGGGAACAAGCCAGCCCCCTCCCCATGCCTTTCCCCATTCTCTGGGCCCAAACTCCGTTTGACTGGGAACGTTGAGGTACCATCTCACCCTTGTAGGACTGACCCACCCCACCTCCCCTGGCAGAGGACTCCAGCTGCAGGCCCCATCGGCCAGGTTGTATCTGGTGGTGGTGGTGGGGTGTCCAGGAGATGGTCCTTCTCTACTGTGGCTCTGCCCTTTGGGACATCAAGGTGAGGTCATCCCCAGCTCTCCTCACCATCCGGAAGAGCCCGAAGACCTGGCTCTGCCTGGCTGGCTTGGGGCTCCCATGAAGAATGGTTTCACATTGGAGGTCTTGCAATTAATAACAGATCCCCCCTACCCCAGCTCAGCCTATTCCAGTGATGGCGAACCTTTTAGAGACCGAGTGCCCAAACTGCAACCCAAAACCCACTTATTTATTGCTGGGTGCCGGGTGGGCGTGGCCCACTGGGTGGGCGTGGCTGTAGTGGTCATGGCAGACAGAGTGAGTATGGCCAAGGTGGGCGTGGTCATCTTGATATTGCTCACGGGGAGGGACACCTGTGGGGGCTCGGCATGGTTCGGTGAGATCCAGGGGGTCTCTGGCAGGTGGGATGGTGGGCAGGAGGCAAGGTGAGGCAGGGCAGGGGTGCCATTGTTGCAGGGCAAGGTGGGGCCGGGGCGGCCGCTGCCTGACACCATCGGCCCCTGCACACAGAGGCCAGTGAGCACATGGGGGCTGACAGTGTCCATCAGCAGCCACAGCCTGCCGGCCCCTCGACTGGCGCACTCTGGGGCTCCGCAGCCCGCCGCCAGAAGTTTGTCTGAGCTGGATGGATAGCCGACAGCTGAGGAGGCGATGCAGTGGGTCGTGCCCGGGAAAAGGAGAGCATGCGAGGCCAGGAGGGATGGGATGGAGGGGAGGGAAACCAGTCGTGCTGGGATGCATCTGGCCACGTGGGACCTCAGCGAGTTAGCAGGCGGCTGGTTGAAGAGGGACGATGGCTATCTCCGGGGCATGGCGCGTGTGCCCACAGACAGGGCTCTGAGTGCCGCCTCTGGCACGCGTGCCATAGGTTCGCCACCACTGGCCTATTCCATCCCTCTCTCTCTTTTAGCTTTATTCACAGCCGATCATTTGTATTTTTCTAACGTTTTACTCCAATTATATGCATACAGGTAGTCCTCGACTTACAACGGTTCCTTCCGTGACTGTTCAAAGTTACAGCAGCACTGAAAAAAGCGACTTATGACCCCTTTTCACACTTACGGCCATCGCAGCGTCCCCGTGGCCGTGTGATCAACATTCAGATGCTTGGCAAGTGACTCACGTTTATGACGGCTACAGTGTCCTGGGATCGTGGGATCCCCTTTTGCGACCTTCTGGCCAGCAAAGTCAAGGGGGGGAGCCAGAATCACTTAACAACCATGTGACTCACTTAAGAACTGCAGTGATTCACTTAGCAACAAGCACAAATCTCTTAACAACTGCCTCGCTTAGCAAAGGAAATTTGGGGCTCAAATGGGGTCGTAAGTCGAGGACTATCTGTAAAGCAAAAGGAAGCTGAAGGAGCACATAATAAGCCCAGGGGCGGCTTCATTTAGCGACTGCTTCACTTAACGACCGGGTGGCCGGTCGCTAAATGAGGACGGCCCACAAATAGAGCCCCTTCCTTTCTGAGGCAGCCCGGGTGCTCCTCCCCCAAGGGGCGGGGCTTACTGATGCTGTGGGCGATAATGTCCAGGAGAGAGAAGCTGGAGCCCAGGGGGTTCACCTCCGTCACGTTCACACGGTAGGAGCTCCAGAACTGGGACTTGCTGACGGTGCAGGAGAGAGGGAGGGCAGGATCCTGGACACACAGACCCACGTTGCTGACCGGGGATCTGCTTGCACAAAGACAAGAGAAAGCGTTTGTCCTGAAAGCTCTTGGCCAAGGGGAAAACAGGACATAAGTTACCATAATCCCCAACCGCAAACCAACATACCGGGGGGGAAAAGTCTACACAAACTGATGAAGTTAGAAAAACTAGGGAAACTCAACATTAAGAAAACCAAGATCATGGCATCCAGCCCTCTCAATTCCTGGCAAATAGATGGGGAAGAAATGGAGGTAGCGACAGATTTTATCTTCCTGGGCTCCAAGATCACCGCAGATGGGGACTGCAGCCAAGAAATTAAAAGACGCTTGCTCCTGGGGAGGAAAGCTATGGCAAATCTAGGCAGCATACTAAAAAGCAGAGACATCACCCTGCCAACAAAAGTACGTATAGTCAAGGCCATGGTTTTCCCAGTTGCAATGTATGGCTGTGAAAGTTGAACCATAAGAAAGGCTGAGCGCCAAAGAATGGAGGCCTTTGAACTCTGGTGCTGGAGAAGACTCCTGCGAGTCCCCTGGACTGCAAGGAGATCAAACTGGTCAGTCCTGGAGGAGATCAACCCCGACTGCTCTTTAGAAGGCCAGATCCTGAAGTTGAAACTCAAGTACTTTGGCCACCTAATGAGAAGGAAGGACTCACTGGAGAAGAGCCTAATGCTGGGAAAGATTGAGGGCAAGAGAACAAGGGGACGACAGAGAAGGAGGTGGCTGGATGGAGTCACTGAAGCAGTAGGCCTGAGCTTAAATGGACTCCACAAGATGGTAGAGGACAGGAAGGCTTGGAGGACCCATGGGGTCACGATGGGTCGGACACGACTTCACAACTAACAACAACACCGACCTTAAAAGAGAGACCAAGCGAAGGTGGGGGAAGAAAGGGGCTTTGGTGTCAGTAGTGGTCTGGGGCACTTGGCACCATCCCAAAAGCACCATCTGGAAAAGTACCTGGACCCGAGAGGAACGGAGAGAATCTCCCAACCCATCATCTCCTAAATGTTACACAGTCTGGCACAGGCCAAATCTTCCAACTCTATCATTAGCTCTCTTCGACCCTTGGGCAGAATCCAGCAGACAAAAGGACTAAATCCAGTCGAAGCTATTTGCAGCCTGGGTAAATAGCAATTCCCAGACCCATCATAATAATACATAATAATGATAATACGTAGCAGTGTATAATACGTTGATTGGTATCCATGCTTTCTTCCCAACAGCCATCATCAAAACGCAAGTTCTTCCATAGACAAAAAGAAATGGAAAAGCCCGTTGACGGACTTTCTCCAAAGGGTATTACGAACGGTGCTCCGATGCCGCCATCCTAGGCTCTTAGACCTGGGCGGCTACTCTGGATGCGAAGGGGGAAATCTGGGGCCGGTGGGCAAATGTGAACTGCCAAAGGGCAGGACCTACCTTGACTTGTCAGCTCCAGGCGGCTGTTTCATCCTGGGAAATGAGAAAGAGGAAATGAGAAAGAGAAGGAGAAAGAGGGGTGATCCGACTGGACCCCCCACCCTCGGGCATCCAGAAGAAACGCGAGACCTTTTTCCCCAGTACCCCGACTGGCCATCCCTGTGTCCAGGCAGCCTCACCCCAGAGGCAGCAGAGCCAGCAAAGGGGAGCAAACCGCATCGGATAAAGGCTGCCTTGACCCCCAACGAAACAGGCAGCCTCTTCTATTCCCACGAGGGCTGAAAGGGCCAGCTGGGCCGTGGCTGCCTCCTTTGGTTAATAAACTAAACAGAGTGTCTCCCCCTCTGCCCGCCTTAATACAAGCCTGGTGAAAGTGCCCCATTGGTCTGTTGTGGGCTCAAAATCCTCATGGTCTCATCATGGCCCCACTCCACTCAAGACACCTCTCCCCCCACTGGCTGCTGCGGTGAAGACAGTGGTCCTTAAGCCAGTGGTGGCGAACCTATGACACACGTGCCAGAGGCGGCATTCAGAGCCCTCTCTGTGGGCACACGCACCATGCCCTGGAGATGGCAACCGTCCCTCTTCAACCAGCCACCCACTAACTCACCAAGCTCCCATGTGGCCGGATGCATCCCAGCATGGCTGGTTTCCTTCCCCCCCCATCCCATCCCTCCTGGCCTTGCATGCTCTCCTTTTCCTGGGCAGGACCCACTGCATCGCCTCCTCAGCTGTTGGCTGGCCGTCCAGCTCAGAGGCGGCTTCTCTGAACTGCTGGCGGTGGGCTGCGGAGCCCCAGAGTGCACCGGTGGTGGGGCCGGCAGGCTGTGGCTGCTGACGGACACCGTCGGCCCCCATGCGCTCGCTGGCTTGTGTGTGTGGGGGCCAATGGTGTCAGGCAGCAGCCGCCCCGGCCCCTGCCTCGCCATGCCCCGTGGCAATGGCACCTCCGCCCTGCCTCGCCTTGCCTCACCCTGCAGGATGAGCCTCCTGCCCACCGCCCCACCTGCCAGAGACCTCCTGGATCTCCCCTAACCCTGCCCGGCCCCCATAGGCGTCCCTCCCCATGAGCAATGAGGTGACCACGCCCACCTTGGCCACACCCACCCAGTCTGCCATGACCCCCAGTGGGCCACACCCACCCAGCACCCGGCGATAAATAAGTGGGTTTTGGGTTGCAGTTTGGGCACTTGGTCTCTAAAAGGTTCACCATCACTGCCTTAAGCCATCCTTCTTGCACCGTGATTGCCCCGTTCAGGACTCTCTGCCGGGAGTCACAGCTCCCCTGGCCTTCCAAATTGATGGCTGGGCTCCGCAGCCAGGGCAGAAGGTGCAGGCTGCCTCCGCCCTTGGCTGGGTAGCCCAGCTTCCCTCTGACCATCAATTTGGAAGGTGCAATGGAAACCTTCTGGAGAAGTCTTTGTTTGTTCCAAGTAAGGTTCTGGAGAGGAAACGCCTGTGGGTTCCTCCGCTGGAGAGCAGAAGGATCATTACAGACGACGTGGAGGAGGCAAAAATGCCTTTTCTTCTCCTTCTCCTTCTCTGCCCCTCCAGCTCCCCCTCCAACATTCTCCTTGCCCCATAGATCTAGGCCTCTCCTCCCCTTAGTAGACCCCCTCCTCAGCTCCACTGACTCCTGCCCAGCCCAGCCCACCCTCACCGATATACAGAGGTGTGTCCCAAAGGTTCTTTTCCCAAAAGGCAAAAGGACTTCCTTGGATTTTTTCCAGAAAGTCCAGAAAGATGACTTACAATTTTCTGGCCTTTCTGGTTGTCGTAAGTCAACCGGACGGTCAACTTAATACCAACTCATCAAGGAGAGAGAGAAGCAACCGAGAACGAAGGAGAAATCTCTTTAATTGTGAGAACAATTAACCAGTGGAATGGAAGTTGCCTCCAGAAGTTGTGGGTGCTCCATCACTGGAGGTTTTGAAGAAGTGACTGGACAGCCACTTGTCTGAAATGATATAGGACAGGGGCAGGCAACCTTGGCTCTTTTATGACTCGTGGACTTCAACTCCCAGAATTCCTGAGCCAGCATGGCTCAGCTTGGAAACCTCTCCCTTTCCCCTCAGCATAAATGGCTCAGGAATTCTGGGAGTTGAAGTCCACGAGTCATAAAAGGGCCAAGGTTGCCTACCCCTGGTATAGGGTCTCCTGCTTGAGCAGGGGTTGGACTAGAAGCCCTCCGAGGTCTCTTTCAACTCTGTTATTTTGTCCAGTTGCCTTGGGGGAAAAGCAGCTCTGGGACAACCATGATCTAGATGATGGAGGATCTCCACAGACGTACAGGTAGGTGGTGATGTATCTGGTGGGCAGGTGTGTCTCCACGCTGGGGGTCCAGAAGCAGGAGAAGTTCTCGTAGTTGGAGGCTCGGCAGGTGACGGAGGGGGGTCCAGGGAGCCCTGCAGGCAAGGAGACAGACATGGTGCTTGGCAAGGAGGGAGACCAGCACCTCTCCGGTTCCACGTGTGGCTCTCCACTACAGGCACAGGGGGTCCTCGCCTTATGACCACAACTGAGCCCAAAATTTCCATTGCTCAGGGAGATGGTTGTTAAGCGAGTTTTCTCCCACTTTACAACCTTTCTTGCAGCCATCGTTACATGAATCGCCGCGGTTGTTTAAGTTAGGAACACGGTTGTTAAGTGAATCTGGATTCCCCATTGCCTTTGCTTGTCCGAAGGTCGCAAAAGGGGATCACTTAACCCCGGGACACTAAATAGGAGTCAATTGCCAAGTGTCTGAATTTTGGTCACGTGACCACGGGGATGTTGCGACGGTCGTAAGTGTGAACAGCGGTCATAAGTCGCTTTTTTCAGTGCCGTTAACTTGAAACGGTCACTAAAGGAACTGCTGTCAGTCGAGGACTACCTTACCCGCCCGCAGTTCACCACTCGGCGGCTTCTCCCTTAACCTGCAGAAGCTCAGAGTGCCCCCCTCCCCACCAGGCATGTATCACTCCCTCCCACAGGAGACCCGCACTTACGGCCGACTCTGAGCACAACGGAGCCCAGGAGAAGCCCGCTGCCATCCTGGCAGCTGTAGGTGCCTTCCGAGGAGAGGTCCACGTGACTCAAGAGCAACTGGCCCTGCTGGACGCTGGAGTCCGTTGGCAGCCCGGAGCCCCCAATCCGCTGCCATCCACTCGTGGACCTGAGGACAGAAGAGTTGCTGTAAGACAGGGGTGTCAAACTCAATTTCATTGAGGGCCGCATCAGCATTGCGGTTGCCCTTGGGGGGGGCGGGTGGTGTGGCCAGGGTGGGTGCGGCCTTCTGGGTAGGCATGGATGGAGTAGGTGGGGCGTACTGGGTGGGCATGGCCAGCTCTACATCGTTTGCGTCAAGGGTGCCTGTGGGGGCCTGGGCAGGAGTGGGACAGATCTGAGGGTCTCTGGCAGAGGGGTGGGTGGGACTGGGGCAAGCGCCAAGGCATGGTCCATTTCTTCATTCTCACAAAGGGTGACACCTCCCCAGCATGCACCCAGGGGACGGGGCCGACGCGGCAGGGGCTGGTTCCTCGCTGTTTCCAGACGGCCTTGTGGGGCTAAGACTGAATGCGTTTCGGCATAGATGGCCACCACAAAATTGTACATTGGCTCCCGGCCGACCTGGGCCAGGGCCAAGGCAGCGGGGGCCGTTCCCTCACTGTTTCCAGGATGGCTTCGCGGGCCCCATGAAACCACTTCGCGGGCCGCATCCGGCCCCCGGGCCTTGTGTTTGACATGTCTGCTGTAAGACCAGGGAAGAAGACCATTGGCAGGAGGGAGGGGGGGTGAGGGTCTTCCAGACAGCAAACCGGGGGTCCATCCTACATTCTCAAGAAACGCCTAAGGAGGAGAAGCTGCAAGGTTCCCCCCCTGTTTGACTTCCTATCTCTGAACGGGGTGCCCCACAATTGCTACCAAGGAGAAGCTGCACAGTCCCCCCCCCAGTTGAATGCCACTGAGCGGGGTGCCCCCCAATTGCTACCAATTCTGCCCCCCTCCCAGTCAATCCGTTGCTGCTGAGGTCCTTCCCTGTGGCTTCCTTCAAGAATAAACATCACTGCCAGCCTTTAGCAGAACGACACAAAAGGCGGGTGTCCCTTCGCAACTAGCCAGGTTGCAAGGCAGAAGGCAATGCCCAGAAAGAGGCTTCTTTTTTTGGGGGGGGGGAGGGAAGGAGAAAAGGACAGCCAGTAACAAGAGGAGGAAGCAGAGGGCTTTTCCCAATGGGAAGACTTCTGTGGTCCTTTCGGTGTCACTGCCCACAAAAAATGGGACTAAGAAGGACAAATGACCAGCTCTTTTCCTTGTGGTTTCCTCTGCGGAAACCTGGTTTTTCCACCACAGGAATGAACAGCATGCTAGAACAGGCATGGCCCAGGCTGGTACAGATGGTGGAATATTCCTCTCTATTTGAAATATGTTACCTTAAAATACCTGAAACTCTATATATGGGTTTATTTTTCCCAAACGGATTGAATAAAACTAAAAATTTTGAGGGATACTTTAAGAAAGGCAGATATGCTTTTTTTGGAAAACACACTTTTAGACAACAGGAGGAGCTCAAAACTGGTAGGTCTGGGGCAGAAGATCAAAAGGGACTACTTCAAATGGAAGAGAATATTTGTAGTTCAGGCTGCTCTCTGAACTCTTGCAGTTTTCTTGCAGACTTAGGTAACACCATCAGTGCTAGAAGGGAGGGGGGTTTGTGGAGAGGAGGAGGAGGAGGAGGAGGAGGAGGAGGAGGAGGGGGATGACGACGACGACACTGTGGGGTCCTTGATCCTCTCTGAGTTTGTTGCTTTTCTTTCAGTTGTTTCGTGAGCCCCACTAGGTCACATCATCAGTTCAAGAGAGTTTTGCTCCGTAATCCTTCCTTGATTAGGATATTGCTTTCCACTTGATTGTTTGACTGGTGTTAATCCCTGCTTATCTGGTTATTGGCTGCTGGAGACGATGTGTGTTTGGCCTCTTTGTTTCCTTCTTAGCTTTTTTTCATTGGCTCTTTTGAATGGTGTGTAAATGTAGGTTATCTTTATGTGTCTACTGATGGCTGACTGGTCTGCATGCCAAGCCTCGGGGAATTCAGTAACATTTTGGAGGGTGTAGAAAACATACCACCCTACCAAACAGGGAGCACACACGTCACATTCTCTCACACTGATGATGTTTGCTAGTTAGGTAATAAAATGTCTGCAAGAAAACAAACATAGAGAGCATGAAAGACTGCACAGTTCTCCTCCTTCTCCTCTCTGCAAACCCACTTCCTTGTAGCACTGATGAAGTTCCCGTGTCAGGTAATTGAAATGTCTGCAAGAAAACAGCCAACTTCAGAGAGTATCAAGGAACTCCTCCTCCTCTCCACAAACACCTCTCTCTTCAAGCACTGATGATGTTACCTAGTTGGGTCATGAAATGTCTGCAAGGAAACAAGCAAGCTCAGAGAGCACCATGGATCCCACAGTCCTCCTCCTCCTCCTCCTCCTTTCCACAAACCCCACTCCCTTCTAGCACTGATGATGTTACCTAGTTGGGTCATGAAATGTCTGCAAGGAAACAAGCAAGCTCAGAGAGCACCATGGACCCCACAGTCCTCCTCCTCCTCCTCCTTTCCACAAACCCCTCTCCCTTCTAGCACTGATGATGTTACCTAGTTGGGTCATGAAATGTCTGCAAGGAAACAAGCAAGCTCAGAGAGCACCAAGGACCCCACAGTCATCGTCGTCGTCGTCGTCGTCGTCGTCCTCCTCCTCCTCCTCCTCCTCCTCCTCCTCCTCCTCCTCCTCCTCCCTGCAAACCTCCCTCCCTTCTAGCACTGATGATGTTACCTAACTGGGTAAAGACGAGGTAAAAAAAATTGGTTGCCACAAAACATCCAAGCTCAGAGAGCACCAGGGAGTCAATTCCCTTCTATTGCTGCTACATATGGGCATCAAATGCTTCAGAAAGCTGGCAAATGGGAGAAATTTGCATGTAGGCAAACCTCCACTAGGGAACAACTGTTTTTTCTGCAGGAAACCCTACTGGCAGNCAACATGTCCTCAATTTTCACCCCATTCAAAAGAGATAATTAAAAACAAAAACAAAAACACTTGCATATCCCTTCTAGAGTGTTTTCCCAAAAGTAAGACCTGGTCTTATATTTATGTTCCAAAAGACACATTATTTTCTGATTAGGTTCTTATTTTTGGGAAAATACAGTACTAAATGCCTCCGTCTGGCTGATGATCTTAACTGGGGCTTATTTCTGAGTTGGGGTTTATATTACGAGCATCCTGAAAAAGTCATGCTAGATTTTATTTTCCGGTTGGGTCTTATTTTCACGGGAACACGGTAGCAGACAGAGAAGCAGGCATCAGCACCAGACAAATTATCAAGCAGAAAGCAATAATCAGGGACTCACCAAGGAGGAAACTACACCCCTATCAAAACTGGCAGGGCAAGCTGCTGCATATAACAGAGGTCCCCAACCTTTTGGGCACCAGGGACCAGTTACATGGAGAAAGGTTTTTTCATGGACCGGAGAGTGTGTGGTTTTGTGTGCTGACTGCATCTCACGGATGGGCCTTTGCTTGTTTGTGTGGACCGGTTGCTGGCATGTTGTGGCCTGGTACTGGTCCACGGACCGGGGGTTGGGGACCCCTGGCATATAAATAGGAGCAAACTCCACCCTCCCTGGCACTGATGATGTCCCCCAGTTTGGTAATGAAATGTCTGCTAGTAAACAACCAAACTCAAGAGAGAACTTCTCCTGAACTTCTGGCCTCTTAAGAAGTGGAGGGACATTAAGAGGTGGGGTCTACAATAACTGTGGTAGCTTGGATGCTACTTATTTTCATATTTGGTGGACTTGTAGAAATATAAAAGCTTTTTGGATTAAGATTTGGTGGAACATTCAAAAGATTTTCAAGAGAAAGATAAAGTTCACTCCACAATTATTTTTGTTGGGTGTTATTACAGATTGTGATGTTAAAGAAACTAACTTGATGTTGAATTTGATAACAGCTGCAAGGTTATTAGTAGGGCAATACTGGAAGAAGGATTGCTTGCCTACTATAGAAGAATGGCCGCTTAAAGTGTCAAATTTAGCAGAAATGGCTAAGATTTCTGCCTATTTGAAGGATCACTCACAAGAAAGATACATTTCGGTTTGCAGAAGATGGATAGATTGTATTCAGAATAAATATGGGACTAAAAAGTTCCATTTAGCCTATGAGTAAATTTTAGAGTATTATTAGTATTAATAGTTTGTTATAGTGAAATTTTTATTAGTTTTAATTATATGATATCATTATTATTTTTAGTATTAGTATTGTTTAACAATATTCTATTGTTTAATAATTAGGATACTAATTTGTTTATGTTTTAATTATTATTATTATATTTACGTTAAAGGGGAGTTAAAGCGCATTATGGACTTGGTTATTTATGTAGTTGGTTAATGTTAGTTAGATTATGATTATTATATTTGTAACCCTGTATTCAGCTTTGGGAAGTGGGGGAGGGAGAGGGGGGGATTAGGGTGGGTTGGTTTTGGGGTTTATATTGTAACTTTTATAAAACTTTTCAATAAAAAAAAAGAAGAAGTGGAGGGACATTAAGAGGTGGGGTCTACAATAACTCGCCACGACTAACTCGCCACGGGCAACTTGCCACGGAACAACTCACCGTGGGCAATTTGCCACACGAACAAGAGTTACACTAATAACGTGGAAATAGTCAAACGGAATCATTAAAGAAAGGATACCAAAAGGAGGGACAAAACGAAATGTGAATGATAAAATAAAACAAAATAATTTTCTAATTATTTTAAATAATTAAATTGTCCCATTCCATAAAAGGGAGATTTTACTGACAGACTCAGTGCAAACAGGGATAGATGGCAAGGTACCTTCAACTGCCTTAGGGACCAGCTTGGGGATCTTCAGACCCTCAGCTGGACACATTCTGCACAAGAGGAACGGCTGCTGGAATTGGGTATGTCTAGTTTAATGAAGTCTAATGAAGAGAAGGACGAGGGGGGACATGATAGCAGCGTTCCAGTATCTCAGGGGCTGCCCCAAAGAAGAATGAGTCAAGCTATTCTCCAAGGCGCCTGAAGGCAGGACAAGAAGCCACGGATGGAAACTAATCAAGGAGAGAAGCAACCTAGAACTAAGGAGAAACTTCCTGACAGTTAGAACCAGTGGAACAACCTGCCTCCAGAAGCGGTGAATGCTCCACACTGGAAGTTTTTAAGCAGAGACTGGACAGCCATTTGTCTGAAATGGTATAGGGTTTCCTGCCTGAGCAGGGGGTTGAACTAGAAGACCTCCAAGGTACCTTCCAACATCATCATCATCATCATCATCATCATCATCATCATCATCATCATCATCATCATCAAGACACCTGGGTGGGACCAGGATTGGGCCCGCTCAGGTACCTACCTTGGGTTTGCTCCAGGGCATTTCAGAACCACGTCACTCCCCAGCTCAGCATAGGTCACCCCTGCAAGAAAAGCCCCAGAGCATGAGACTTGGTGCTCCGTTGCTTCATGGATCCCGAATCTGCCAGATGATGTGGAGCCATGTCTTTGCCCTTAAGAGTGGGACCTTGCAGTCCCTCTTCCCTCCTCCTTACGAAGGGTGGTGGGTTGTTTTGGCCAAAAGTGACCCCCGCCACCCTCTGCAGGCAGCCCTCCCAGCCCTGGCTTAACGTGGGGCTCACCTTCTTTTACCCATTCTCCTGATATGGTGATGGAGGCGGTTGTGAGCACCATGGCAAAAAGGACCAGCCCTCTGCTCACCCAGCTGGTGAGGCTCAGCATCTAAGGGGCCAAAGGGGGGGGGGGGAAGGAGAGAAAAAAAGAACAACATCAGGAGGTTGATTGCTAAAATTGAAAAGCTGTGGGGTCGCTGTTTCCAATCCAGTGACCCTCTTCCTTCCTTCCTTCCTTCCTTCCTTCCTTCCTTCCTTCCTTCCTTCCTTCCTTCCTTCNCAACATGTCCTCAATTTTCACCCCATTCAAAAGAGATAATTAAAAACAAAAACAAAAACACTTGCATATCCCTTCTAGAGTGTTTTCCCAAAAGTAAGACCTGGTCTTATATTTATGTTCCAAAAGACACATTATTTTCTGATTAGGTTCTTATTTTTGGGAAAATACAGTACTAAATGCCTCCGTCTAGCTGACGATCTTAACTGGGGTTTATTTCTGAGTTGGGGTTTATATTACGAGCATCCTGAAAAAAATCATGCTAGAGTTTATTTTCCGGGTGGGTCTTATTTTCACGGGAACACGGTAGCAGACAGAGAAGCAGGCATCAGCACCAGACAAATTATCAAGCAGAAAGCAATAATCAGGGACTCACCAAGGAGGAAACTACACCCCTATCAAAACTGGCAGGGCAAGCTGCTGCATATAACAGAGGTCCCCAACCTTTTGGGCACCAGGGACCAGTTACATGGAGAAAGGTTTTTTCACGGACCGGAGAGTGCGTGGTTTTTTGTGCTGCCTGCATCTCACGGATGGGGCTTTGCTTGTTTGTGTGGACCGGTTGCTGGCATGTTGTGGCCTGGTACTGGTCCACGGACCGGGGGTTGGGGACCCCTGGCATATAAATAGGCGCAAACTCCACCCTCCCTGGCACTGATAATGTCCCCCAGTTTGGTAATGAAATGTGTGCTAGTAAACAACCAAACTCAGAGAGAACTTCTGGAAGGACGTTAAGAGGTGGGGTCTACAATAACTCGCCACAACCAACTCGCCACGGGCAACTTGCCACGGAACAACTCACCGTGGGCAATTTGCCACACAAACAAGAGTTACACTAATAACGTAGAAATAGTCAAACGGAATCATTAAAGAAAGGATACCAAAAGGAGGGACAAAACGAAATGTGAATGATAAAAAAAAAACCCAAAATAATTTTCTGATTATTTTAAATAATTAAATTGTCCCATTCCATAAAAGGGGGATTTTACTGGCAGACTCAGTGCAAACAGGGATAGATGGCAAGGTACCTTCAACTGCCTTAGGGACCAGCTTGGGGATCTTCAGACCCTCAGCTGGACACATTCTGCACAAGAGGAACGGCTGCTGGAATTGGGTATGTCTAGTTTAATGAAGTTTAATGAAGAGAAGGACGAGGGGGGACATGATAGCAGCGTTCCAGTATCTCAGGGGCTGCCCCAAAGAAAAGGGAGTCAAGCTATTTTCCAAGGCGCCTGAAGGCAGGACAAGAAGCAACGGATGGAAACTAATCAAGGAGAGAAGCAACCTAGAACTAAGGAGAAACTTCCTGACAGTTAGAACAATTAACCAGTGGAACAACCTGCCTCCAGAAGCCGTGAATGCTCCAACACTGGAAGTTTTTAAGAAGAGACTGGACAGCTATTTGTCTGAAATGGTATAGGGTTTCCTGCCTGAGCAGGGGGTTGGACTAAATGACCTCCAAGGTACCTTCCAACATCATCATCATCATCATCATCATCATCATCATCATCATCATCATCATCATCATCATCATCATTAAGACACCTGGGTGGGACCAGGATTGGGCCCACTCAGGTACCTACCTTGGGTTTGCTCCAGGGCATTTCAGAACCACGTCACTCCCCAGCTCAGCATAGGTCACCCCTGCAAGAAAAGCCCCAGAGCATGAGACTTGGTGCTCCATTGCTTCATGGATCCCGAATCTGCCAGATGATGTGGAGCCATGTCTTTGCCCTTAAGAGTGGGACCTTGCAGTCCCTCTTCCCTCCTCCTTAGGAAGGGTGGTGGGTTGTTTTGGCCAAAAGTGACCCCCGCCACCCTCTGCAGGCAGCCCTCCCAGCCCTGGCTTAACGTGGGGCTCACCTTCTTTTTCCCATTCTCCTGATATGGTGATGGAGGCGGTTGTGAGCACCATGGCAAAAAGGACCAGCCCTCTGCTCACCCAGCTGGTGAGGCTCAGCATCTAAGGGGCCAAAGGGTGAGGAGGGGAAGGAGAGAAAAAAGAACAACATCAGGAGGTTGATTGCTAAAATTAAAAAGCTGTAGGGTCGCTGTTTCCAATCCGATGGCTTTCTTTCTTTCTTTCTTTCTTTCTTTCTTTCTTTCTTTCTTTCTTTCTTTCTCTCTCTCTTTCTTTCTTTTCTCTTTCCTTCTTTCTTTCTTTTTTTCTTTTTCTTTCTTTCTTTCTTTCTCTTTCTTTTTCTTTCTTTCTTTCTTTTTCTTTCTTTCTCTCCCTTCCTTTCTTCCTTCTCTCTTTTTCTTTTTCTTTCTCTTTTTCTTCCTTCCTTCCTTTTTCTTTCTCTCTTTCTTTCTTTCTTTCTCTCTCTCTCTCTCTTTCTTTTTTTTCTCTTTCTTTTTTTTCTTTTTCTTTCTTTCTTTCTTTTTTTTCTTTCTTTTTCTTTCTTTCTTTCTTTTCTTTCTTTCTTTCTCTCTCTCCCTTCCTTTCTTCCTTCTCTTTTTCTTTTTCTTTCTCTTTTTCTTCCTTCCTTCCTTCCTTCCTTCCTTCCTCTTTCTTTCTTTCTCTCTTTCTCTCTTTCTCTCTTTCTCTCTTTCTTTCTTTCTTCCTTCCTTCCTTCCTTCCTTCCTTCCTTCCCTCCCTTCCCTTCCCTTCCCTTCCCTTCCCTTCCCTTCCCTCCCCCCTTCCTCCTTCTTTCTCCATGCAGGACTGGAGGCTAAAACATACAAAGAATGGTTGCAGGAATTAGGTATGTCTAGTTTAATGAAAAGAAGGACCAGGGGTGACAAGATAGCAGTCTTCCAATATTTGAGGGGCTGCCACAAAAAGGGGGGGGGTCAACTTATTTTCCAAAGCACCTGAAGGCAAGATTAGAAACAACAGATGGAAACTAATTATGGAGAGTAGCAACCTAGAATGAAGGAGAAATTTCCTGACATTGAGAACAATTAACCGGTGGAACAACCTGCCTCCAGAAATTGTGGTGCTCCATCATTGGAGGTCTTCAAGAAGAGACTGGACAGCCATTTATTATTTTTTTTGAAAATATTATGGAGTTTCCTGACTGAGCAGAGGCTTGGACTATAAGGCTTCCCAGGTCCCTTCCAACTCTGTTATTCTATTATTCATCTTCCTTCCTTCCTTCCTTCCTTCCTTCCTTCCTTCCTTCCTTCCTTCCTTCCTTCCTTCCTTCCTTCCTTCCTTCCTTCCAGAAAGTTCCACCCAAATGATCAGGAAGGATCAGACCCTTCAAGGGACATGGGGCTGGCTCACCAACAAATGTAAGCTTTTCATTGGCAATAGTTCATGGAAACTCAAACAGCTGCTCCTGCTGGGCAAATATTGGTACGGGGAGACATCAGTGGCAGGAACGGAAACAGAAGAGCCCCCCCCTCCACCCTCTGGGCAGGTGTTACCTTTGGGCATGGTTTGGTCTGGAGAGATAGGTGAGAGGGCCTCCCAAGATAGGATTTGTATTTAGACGCACAAAGGCGGGCGAGGGGTGGGGGAGCATAGCAAACTTGGGAGGGGGGGGGTTGGGCACATGCTGCTGGCAGAGATCCAGACCTGCCCCCAATTTCCACCCCAACCCCCATCTTGCCCTAATGGCTGCATTCCCTTTGCCTCTTTAATCAGGCCTTTCTCACCCTTCCTTTGATGATCAAAGTAATGCACAGAAGCTAAAACAAAACAGATCCACTCAAGAGGTCCCTGGCCCTGCATTGCTCCCTTTTTCAGACCAAGATCCCCCCAGCATTTTTGCAGCAGGGCAGAACTCCCCTCCCCCCCAACATGTGCTCATGGAGACCCCAGAGCCAGAAATGCAGACTACACGAATTTCCCCAGGCTGGATAGCAAGGACCGTTTGGATGATCTCACAGCATCCATGCTGGAAGAAATGCACCGCAGGCAGATCACAATGTCAACGACAAAGCTGTCCAGAACAGGGAGGGATAAAATCAAGATCATGTGAAGTGTTAATGCCACTTTATAATGCCTTGATAAGACCACATTTGGGATACCGCATCCAGTTTTGGTCACCACAGCATAAAAAAGATGTTGAGACTCTAGAAAGAGGGCAGAGAAGAGCAACAAAGATGATTAGGGGGCTGGAGGCTAAAACATAAGAATGGTTGCAGGAATAGGGTGAAAGTCTAGTGAAAGGAAGAATAGTCTAGTGAAAGGAAGGATATGGGTGACATGACAGCTGTCTTCCAATATCTCAGGGGTTGCCACGAAGAAGAAGGGGTCAGGCTATTCTCCAAAACACCCTGAAGGCAGGACAAGAAGTTAATGGATGGAAGCTAATCGAGGAGAGAAACAACCTGGAATTAAGGAGAAACTTCCTAACAGTGAGGACAGTTAACCAGTGGAACAGCTTGCCTCCAGAAATTGTGAGCGCTCCATCACTGGAGGTTTTTAAGAAGAGACTTGTCACTTGTCTGAAATGGTAGAGGTCCGTGGTGGTGAACCTATGGCATGCGTGCCATAGGCGACACTCAGAGCCCTCTCTGTGGGCACGCGCGCCATCACCCCAGTCCTAGCCCTTCAGCTGGGTTTTATAAAACCTTTTTGCTTTAGGCCTCCGCCGCCATGTGCCAAAAAAAAAAGGTTCAATCAATCAATCAATTTCAACTTCTCGCAGGGAAAAAATCTTGCCAAGTTGGAATTGATTGATTGAACTTTTTAGTCCCACCCAGTCTGCTGTTACCACCGCAGCCACGCCCACCCAACTGGCCACACGCACCCAATGGGCCACACCCACCCGGCACCTGACGATACATAAGTGGGTTTTGGGTTACAGTTTGGGCACTCAGTCTCTAAAAGGCTCACCATCACTGGTATAGGTTCTCCTGCTTGAGCAGGGGGCTGGACTAGAAGACCTCCAAGGTCCCTTCCTACTCTACTCTACTCTACTCTACTCTACTCTACTCTACTCTACTCTACTCTACTTTACTCTACTCTACTGGATGGAAACTAACCAAAGAGAGAAGCAACCTGGAATTTCCTAACAGTGAGAACAATTAACCAGTGGAAGAGAAGTTGCCTTGAGACGTTGCGGATGCTCCAACACTGGAGGTTCTTAAGAACAGGGGTCCCCAACCCCCAGTCCGTGGACCGGTACCGGGCCACGGCATGCCAGCAACCAGTCTGCACAAAAAAGCAAAACCCCATCTGCGGGATGCAGGCAGCACACAAAACCACGCACCCTCAGGCCTGCGGAAAAGTCTCTCTCCACGGAACCGGTCCCTGGTGCCCAAAAGGCTGGGGACCTCTGCTGAAGAAGATATTGGACAACCATTTGTCCAGAATGGCCTCTTGCTTGAGCAGGGGGTTGGACTAGAAGACCTCTGAGGTCCCTTCCAATTCCGTTCTTCTGAGCACCTGATCATAGCCACAGCCGTGAGAGGACTCTGTTCTCCCGTCCAGAATGCTGCTTCTCACAGACCCCCCTTGTCCTTCTCCACCCCACCCCCCTTAGTAGATTAGGGTGGCTGAGGTTTGCACTGCTCCTTATCTGCTCAGGGTTTCCCCCTTCCTCCAAGTGGCACCACTCAGCTTCCAAGCAGCTCAGCCCCGGATGTCCTGGCACGAACCCCTCAGGTGTGCCCTGTCTTAGGTGCCAATTCTGTGCACGCTGCGCAGAGAGCCAGGCAGCAGGGTGGCGCCACGGGGGATTGCAATGATCGCTGTAGTAAACAAATGAATGCTTTGGCGTACAGCAGGATGAACCCAGGACAAGACATTGGAAAGGGATGGAAATATTTCTGCAATTAGCTGTCTCTAGACTGGGACTGAGGCGGAATTGTTCTGCCCTGAATTTCCTCAATCACAACCTCAGACTAAGCACTGCTCTGGTCTGCAGCAGCCTGCCCGCCCCCACCCTCCCGGACCCCCAAACCACAGCCAAGATCAGCCTGTGGTTCTCCTTTTATCCCCCCAGGAACTGAGAGGGAGACTAAATCCCCTTTAAGCCTGCTTTTTTGTGTGTTTTTTTGCTGCTCCTACCAAGCAGGCCGAACAGATTTTTTGGTGAATTGCGATGTCTGGAATCGTTTGACATGGAAAAAACAACATTATCTCCAGCCCATAATGGATCGGCGTGTTTATTTAGACGGAGATTCCACAGGCGGCCTGGAGCGAGGCAAGCGTGCAAAACGGAGGAAATCTGCACGGGTGAAGAAGGGGCAGGCCAGCCTCCTGCTCTGCTGCTTTCTCTCCCCAGAAACCACTCAAAAAGTAGGCGAAATCACAACTGCTCTCTTCCCCCAATGGAGGCAGAGGCCCAGGCATTCGCACAGCCACAGAAGAAACAAAAGATTGGGCTGAGCCCAGCAGAGTCTTGGTATAACCGAGAAAGGGGGGTCTTGTCTCCTGCTTGAGCAGGGGGTTGGACTAGATGACCTCCAAGATCCCTTCCAACTCTGTTATTCTGTTATGATTAAGGGGTCTGGAGGCTAAACCTTCCAATGAAAGATTGAGGGTACTAGATACGATTAGCCTACAGAAGAGAAGGGTTAGGGGTGACACGATAGCATCTTCCAATCCTTGAGGTGCTATCCTAGGGGGAGAGAGGGTGGAGCTTATTCTCCAACGCACCGGAAGGCAGGACAAGAAGTAAGAGATGGAAGCTTGTCAAAGAGAGATCCAACCTAGAACTAAGGAGAAACTTCCCGACAGTGAGAACAGTTAACCGATGGAACAGCTTCCCTTCAGAAGCTGTGGGTGCTCAAACACTGGAGGTTTTAAAGAAGAGATTGGACAGCCATTTGTCTGGAATGGTACGGGGACTCCTGCTTGAGCAGGGGGTTGGACAAGAAGACCCCCACAAGATCCCTTCCAACTTTGTTAGTCTGTTAATCAGCAGAATGTCATGAGTGCTCCAACACTGGACGCTTTTAAGAAGAGACAGGATCTCCTGCTTGAGGAAGGGGTTGGACTAAATGACCTCCAAGGTCCCTTCCAGCTCTGTTATTGCGTCTGCCTAACTTCTCACAAGAGGCTGC